GCAGACGTCAATGCGGCGACACAGATTTCTCTCTGTGAGAACATGGGGAACCCATACATCGAGCTTCGAGGATAATCCCAGGCCTTTCAAGTGGTCATAAACTGTTCAATTTGATAAATTTAACCTCAATCCGATCTCACGTGTTGTTATTCGCCGGTTCACATTCATACGCTCATTCATCCCCTTTCACACTCTCATTCACACCCCACAGTAATGGGAGACAATGAAAATGCACGAGGGTGGACGGATGTTACCGTTTCCTCCTCATACATTCTCATTCTCTCCCATTACCTTGCACACCCTCTTTCTCCTACACATTCATACACCCTCATTCATTCCACCTCTCGTCCTGGGAGATAGCAAGAATGCACGAGGGTGAATAGAAACATACGTTTACCCCTCGTTCATCCTTACCACCTCCCTCGCACACATTCTCTCATAGACCCATTCATTACCTCATTTCATTCTCACCACCATTCTTACTTCACCCTTGCACACTCATGCTCCTTATATTCACCCTCATTCATACACACAACTGCAGTAAGAATGCAGAAGAGTGAACGGAAGCGACCGCTTACCCTCATGCATTCTTGTTCTCTCTCTCACTCTCATTACCTCATGCACCCCCTTTCTCTCATCCACAGTCACATACGCTCATTCATTCTCCCGCTCCCACTGGGAAATAGTAAGAATGCACAAGGGTGAACAGAAGAATGCGTTTAATCCTCGTTCATCCTTATAACCTCCCCGCAAACATACTCTCATACACACACACATCCGTTATCTCATTTCATTCTCACCACCATTCGTACTACACCCTTGCACATTCATGGCTTTATATTCACTCCTATTCATACGCACAACTGAAGTAAGAATACAGAAGGGCGAACGAAAGCAACCGTTTACCCTCATGCATTCTTGTTCTCTCTCTCTCTCTCTCTCTCTCTCATTACATCAACCGCCCTCTTTCTTTCCCCCACAGTCACATACCCTCATTCATTCCACCGCTCGTAATGGGAGATAGTAAGAATGCACGAAGGTGAACAAAAGTAAGAGTTTACCCTCGCTCATCCTTACTCACTCCCTTTCGCATACACACGCACAATTACTCATTTCATTCTCACTACCACTCTCTTCGATCTCACCTCATTCTTACTACGGCCCCGCACATTCATGCCCCCTTATATTTACTCTCATTCATACGCACAATTGATGTAAGAATGCGTGAGGGTGAACAGTAAGGATCTTCTACCCTCATGCATGCTTACCCATCCGTTCCTTCACCCTCGCCCCCGCGCCCCGTAGACCGCTGGATCCATCCATAAACCTACAACCATTTTATTTTCAATACATTAATAATTCAATAACCATTTTAAACCATACTAAAAATTATTTTTATTTTATTCATTTCCAAAACCATTTCCATACTTTATTAGTTATTGAAATGAATCTGTAATGGAGAAAATTTTACATAAGTTACGTTTAAGAAGTAAAAGACATTCGAAAATAGAGAATTAAAATAAAATGGGCAAAAATTATGTAATTTATTTTACAGTAATAAAAAATAAATAGTGAATATTAACAAGAAAGCTTACCTTTCCCTAAAAAAACGCGAAAATTTATAACAAGATGGTCGCCATTTTCCATTTTAGCAATTATGTCTCCTATTTCTAATTATATTGCTTATTAAAATTACATCAATATTACTCATGTATATATTACTGGGGGATAAAATGTCTCCAAAAGGAGAGGGTGAAAGTGGATAATTCCAGGTCGTAAGACCTTCATCTTATCCACTTACACTTTCATTTATTTGTTATTAAATTAAACAAACGAAACAATTTTCTCTCCATCATGTTCCCAAGTTTTTGTTTCCTCCACTTCATCTTCATTTGTTTTGACCAACAAATGCCAACCTGTTGAAAACATATTAAATTAGTTATATTTAACAAAAATATTACGCAATAAGGACAACTAACTTCTAACAACAATAGATAAATAGTAACAGAAATTTACCTTTCCCTAAAAAAAAGTCAAAATCCAAACAGTCGATCTTCTTGTCTAATTAACATAATTATATTTCCAATTCGTGTTTGTATTGCCCATAATACTCGAAATTGTAATCCAAATTAAAACTGCCTTGAATTAGTATCTGTTGAAACAATTTAATATTAGTTTTATGTCCAATTTATTATTAATATTTTATCTGAATCGATTAAGTATTAATTCCTTAAACAATGCCAATTGTAAGATAGAAATAATACCATTTAAGAAAGTAATACTTTACTAAAATGTAACTAAAAGTCAAATAACAAAATAATGAAAACTTTCTTACCACTCCCACAAAATGGTTCCTGATTCGACGACTCCAGGACTCCTCTACGTTGGCCCCAGGTCTTTGTCGTTTTATTCAATTCATGCTGGTTCTTATTGACCAAATTAATACCTGTTGAAACAACATTTTAATTAGTTTCATACATCTCAATAATTGTCATGTAGCTAACACTCTATCTTAACGTTAGCCAAAAATTGGGAAGAAATTTAATAATTTTCTATTATCAGTGTTATTAATTAATAATAATTACCATTTTTCAGATAAAATGTGTCCTTGTTAGAATTTTTCGTCCAACATGGAAAAAATGGTGGCAGTCTCAGGCTCTCAGGGTAGACGTGTTGTTCGGCAAATTCATTCAATTTGTCCATCTTGCCCCTTCAGAACATAAAACGATTAATATTTGAACATATTCACGCCATATTCTATAAAATCGAACCAAAATCGAATCGCATGTTATACCTAAACGGGTTACACATTATCTATCATCATCGCCTAAACCTACATTCAGAATTCGAAAAATTTAACAAATCCCTAATTATTCAACTTCAATTAATCTAAAAACTTGATAAAATTTGCAACAAATAGGCGAAAACGTAACCCACGCCGAGACACCCGAACCCACGCCATCCAAAAATAATCATTTACGCCTAAAAAATCGAACCAACGATAATCACAACCTATCAATCATTAAATGGGAATGTATTATATGTAATGAGAACAAAATCAAATAAAGATGAGGGATAAATACCTTCAGGACTCCATTCCCTTTATTAACAGCAACGGCCAGCAACATCTTAACTTTTCGAAGTCTCAGCTCAAACAATTAAAGAAGACGGAAATTATTTTAACGGAAGCGGTGTATAGTAAGTGGGGGTATACTACATTAGTCAAAATTTTCCCTGCTAGTTGTAAAATTATTATCCGACATGGAAATCATTTTCTAATCGTGGTTTCCTATAAACTAACAAAAGCCAATCGTATAGAGATGTTATTACGGATTTTTAAGCTTCTTGGAATTTCAGAAACAAAAAATAAAACAATTGACAATTTCAAATGGACGGATATCGATCCTCAATAATACCAACTTAAAATCCTTAGAGCAGCAGTGCCAATAAATAAAATCCCTATCTCTTTGACACATAACCTAGTTCAAAATATACATAAAATGAATAAAAATAACATTTTTAAGTTAAAAATTGGCATTTTTATTAATGAAAACCTACTCTTGTATGTTCGAAGAAGTATTATAGTTAGTCTAGAGCAAAAATATTAACTTTCTCAAGAACAGCCTCTCTAACTGTTCCTGCTGTAAGCATGTTTTTCTAGGATAATTTGGAAGGATTCAGTAGGACGAAGCCTCCATAAACATCATAGCATTTATAAGAACAATGTAAAACGTTCTATTATCGTACAATTTCGATGCAGTATGCCAATTTTATATTACACGTTACAAACTTTTTGCGCCTTTCGAAAACGAACTTGTAACGACCGTAGGAACACAAGTATGCTGAAAAGAACATAACGAAGGTAATGTAGAGTTCAATTAACGTACTCGTAGTCATATTTTGTTTATAATTTCAGTTTATTCTGATGAAAAAAAATACAACCCAAGCTAACCTAAAAATTGGAAGTAAAATTTAAAATATGGCATGTAGCAAATGGTTTTCAGTGCCCAAATTACTGAAAAAGTAATCAACAAACGAAACGTCTCGTCTCAATAAAATATTAATCCTACCGCACTGTAGTATTATGTATAGTAAGTAACCCCCTTGTCTGTCTACCTACCAGGTTGTAAAATTAGGTAAAACAAGCAAGAAAATTGTTATATGGTCAGTAAAGAACGAATGTAACAAGGTTTCATCGCAACAGTCGTCACTTTGCCGATTTTAGACAGTCCTAATACCTGATGAAATCATCGCAACCCCGATTCAAGTATTATAAGAGCCCCCAATCAAATATATCCATTATTTCATCCATTAACATTTTATAAACATACCAGGATACGTGTATATATACCTTCATTCATAAATAAACGAAAACTACTCCAGAAAAGGGGTAGAAATACTGTAAACGTTACCTAGCTACTATAATTTTGGCCAATTTTAATCTATCCAGACGTTAATTCTAATTTTATTCTTCTATTTTCAGTTTCCATTATTGCCTGTTATTTGATATCTCTAGCCATGCCGTTTATAGGGTTCACACCCCTTTGGTGGTAACAGTGGGGGCTGATGGTGCGGACTCCGCCCTAATACGGGGCTCCCCGTGGACAAGTAAAGCCTACGATTAGCTACAATTGGCTTAAAGAGACCCCCCTGTGAGTACCCGTTGTAAACGAGTTCCTATAGACATGTTTAATAAGATCAGTTTGATGCATACCACTTTTAAATGAAAAAGTATTGAAATTAATTTTTTTTATAGCAACCACAACAGCCCCTTTGACTTTTACTGCACTTTTTTTCTTGTTTATCCCTATTATGTTGTCCAGGTACAAGCTCAGCTTCAAGAACATCGAAACAGCAGCATCCTTAATTTTATTCTTTTTTTTATTACTTGAGCCTTGCCAGAAACTCATTTTTAAAACTTTTGTAAGCTTAACATTATACCCCTTTATACAATACCCTTTCATCGATAAGAAATGTAAACTACTATAAAAAAAAGGGTAGAAATATGTATTGTACACATCATCTACCACACTTTAATTTATTAATTCTAGTTTTTATTTTTTAATTTTCAGAGGACACTTTAGTCTACTAGTATTAATCCTGATATTATCTCAAGCTAAGTCACTTTGGAGGTATAACAGCAAACAGTATGGGGTTGACAGTCCCCAAAGAGCCACAGACAACAGTAATTTATGTAAGAAATTTATTCTTGGCTAGGCACATTTAATAAGATATAAGAAATAAAACACTTGGTACACTTAGAGTGTTCTAAATAAATTATGAAACATAAGTGTACCAAGTGTTTTATTTCTTATATCTCACAGTAATTTAAGCCTAACAGTAATTACACCTAATACAACTGGTTAAAAAGGACACCCAGTTTGTGTTCATTCTAGTGTATAGTACATTTGTATCTATGTATGGTACCGACCATAAAAAGACACAAACTTTTTATATGTTAATTAATTAATGTATCTCATTACCAACAAATCTCATCGTCAAATGTTTGTAAATGTAGATAGAAGAATTTATTTTATGAATACACCATAAAAATTACTGAATGCTACAAGCTTTTTTGAATATTTTTGATATTTTTAACGCAATCGTCAATACTTTCACCATAGTTGGAATATCCATTTCGTAAATAAGTACAAAGGGAAAGGCAATAATTAATAAAAGTTTCTTTATCTGTCGTTGTAACTGAAAAAAAAAAAAAAAAGAATCATTTCGTTTCTTTTTACTCGTAGTTAGGGGACGTCCATTAATTACGTGCGATTTTTTTAAAATTTCGATCCCCTTCGTCCTTGATGAGATTTTGACGAATCCCCTTTCGACTTCACGCAATTAATGGAAGTCCCCTAAGAGTGCACATATGGTCCTGAGTGATATCAGATACATGTCTTTTGTCTTGGGGAATCTCAAAAACATTGGAAAAGTTCTGGTTAAATAAATAAAAAAACGATTAATTAAATCAACTTACTGCTTTCTTTTTTAAGAAAGTTTTTAAACTCGAGAAAATGCTCCTTGGCGTTCTTCTGTAAGGAAAAATTAAATACAGATGTCCAATAATTTAATAGTCTTTCTAAACAGCCTTCCAATGACCAAGGGGGTTTTGACATACCCCCCATCCTATTCCATATGCTTCCATACGATTCCTTTATTTCCTTCACAATGATCATACTAATTAAATGGCTCAAGCTCGTTTTAATCTCTTCAATTTTACAAACTTTTTCATTAGCTGGTTTACGAAATGGATCCAAAATCGCTACAATTTCATCGTGGCCATAAGCAGGAATATTATTTAATAATGCTTTGTTACGAAGATTTACGTCATTGGAAAGAAGTATCTGAAAGAATTTTTTTTACTATTTTAAGAAGTTGTGGGTAAAAGGAAAAAACTTACAACTCGGTTTTTGCGCCTCAAAATTTGTAGGCAACAGTTTAAAATTGCATCATCAGCACATGTGTTTGGAGTCATATTCTGCATTACATCTGACATATTTTGTCCTTTAATGGAAAATAATATTATTCACTATTAAACAATACAAAATGCAATAATTAATGTTGTTTGGATGTTAAAAAAAACTTTTATAGTTATAAAATATATACCTTGAAGGATCTTCTTATCAGATTGAAGGCAGGCATTTATGAATTTAATAGCAATTTGCGCTCTTTTTCGTAAAAATTCATGGGCATTTTTTCCATCCTTTATATAGTCTAATTCTTGAATTACAATCCAAGGTAAAAACATTATGGGAACTTCTACACCTTAAAAATGTACTCCACTCAATTTTTTGACTTAAAATAAAAAAAAAATTATAATACTTAAAGAGTTGAGGATATTACCATTAATTTTTATTTCCATTATTTCTTTTATAACTTCCAAGTGCGACAAGAAAATATTCGTATCAATAACAATAAAAACAGTTTTAAGGACACCGTCATTTCGCATCAACTCAGATGAAATGTTTTGTACCTCTTTTTGGAATTCAGTTTGTGGTAAGATATTTGGTAGCATACTGGTCCGAACTTTCTCAATCTAAAAATCAAAACAATTGTAAACAGTAATAGACAACATCCTGTATAATAAACAAATATTACATTTGATAAGACAATTTTTTCATCAATTGGTGTCCAATCCATAAACAAATCATCATTTGAGTTTCTGTTTTGGTCAGTTGATTCTCCATGCCTGTTGGCTCCTTCTTCTGGCATATAGTAACAATTTAAAGAATTATTAGAAGAAAGGGTATTATTATCACAGCCCTTCTGAAAACTTTTATTGANTTCATTTACACTTATCAATAAAGCGTTGAAATAAAAAAAGACTTTTATCTCTGATTATTTCTTCCATAAAGTTTTTTTTTGCTTTTTCATTGACTGCTGCCCGTCTGCATCCATAAAGTGAAACAAATTTTTAGCGCAAGCACAAGCCTCCCGATTATTTAAAAGAAAATGGATGCTGTTTCGATCCTCTTTTTTTAAATTAACAAACGCTTTCCAAATATCATCGCTTAGTTGTTTCGGTACGATATTGGTAGGTAAATTGCTTAAAAATTCGATACATAAAAGTTCGTCTGTATCATTTTGGAAAACGTGATTATAAGATTGGTTTAAAGTATCCCATTCTGGCCCATTAATTTCTCCTTCCTGATTTCCGCCTTTGAGAAGTCTGTTTCTTAAAATGTCCATGTGTTTTCTACCGTCTTTCAAAAGTAATTTTGCGATAAAAATTCGATTTATGCTGATAATTGTACGGGTCATTTTCAGAACAATGCTTGGATGTCTACTTCCCCTATTATTCAAACGTAACAACTGTGCAAAAGGATATGATAAACGCTCAAAAGGTGCCAAAAAATCGAAACATTCTTTAATAACCATTTTGGCGTCAGAATAATTCGTTGGTAGTGGATAGTTACCGCCACTCTCATGGTGAACCCGCAAATAATCGTGTACTTCCGCTTTGATCATATCAAAAATATTGTCATCTATATTCCCCGTTATGACCATTTTCTTCTTTTCTTGAAAACGGTACGTTATACCGTAAGTAGTGGACAAGTCACGCATAAATATTTTCCCGCGTGCTCTTTTCATAAGGGAGCTTTCAAACGCAGATAAACAGATTGTAAATGGATCGTCTGGTGTTGCATCATTCATTTGTGGTCGAGGTAAATCGGTACTATTCACAACATTTCTCTTGTCTCGTTCATTTCCTTTCGTTTCATCCCCTGATGTGCTTGTTAAATCCACTTCTTGGACCATACGGTCACGCCCAGTGTTTACTAAATTGTTTACTTCTCTATCTGGTTCTGTCAAGTCAATAGTACTCATAACCCCAACTGTTTCTTCTCGTTCGTTATTTACTTCGAACATTTGAATATTACTATTTGGTGGTCCTTGTTCTACATTTGGCGATTCTTGTGCTATATTTGGTTGCGGCGCTCCCGTATATGGTTGGCACTGTCCCACATTTGGTTGGCCTTGTCGCACATTTGGTTGTTCTTGTCCCACGTTTGCTAATCCTTGTCCCATATTTGGTTGTTCTCGTCTTACATGTGGTTGAACATGCCCCAAATTTGGTTGTCCTTGTCCCATTTGTGATTGCATGAAAGGGTTTGCATGTAAAAATGCCGGGGAAGAAAAAATGCTGTTACCAGACAAAAGATTTTGTAAATTTGCATGAAATGGTAGTTGATAGTTGTTTGTTTGAAAAGGGGAACCGTAGAAGTTGTGGTTTTGTAAATGACCGGTCCCGGGGGGATAGAACAATGGAGAATTAAAAGCAGGAGCGACAAAAGGTGCCCATGGATTAATTAAGAAGTTGGAAGGGTCACCAAGCAGACCAGGACGATTTGTTGTTTGTACTTGCCGTGGCTTCTTATTTTTTTTATTGTTCTTCGATTGTGGTTGTTGTTGTTGTGGTTGAGTTTTTTGTTGTGATTGAGATTTTTGTTGCGATTGTGGTTCTATTTTTTGATGTAATTTTAATAGTTTCTTTTGGGCCTTGGCCAATTTTTTCCTTTGCTTTTTAGTTAGTGGTTGTGAGTTTTCTATTGCTTTATACGTTTCTTGAGTACTATTTTTATCATTTATCGACGCTTTCTCTGGATGGTGCGCTGACGCTTCCTCTTGATCGTTTGATGTCCCCTGCTGTTCAATGTTTGTTGAGATTCCCGATTGACTCTTTTCTTGTAATGTTGATACTTCTTCTACAATTATTATTTCGTTGACCTTTTTTATCGCTTCCTTTTGAGAGTGTAACGTTTCTTCTTGTCTAATTATCTCTCCATATTCTGATTTTTCTTCATGAATTTCTTCTGAATTTCCCTCATTGTGTTTAATCATTTCATTATGTTTTGAAATAACTTCCTCATTTTGGTTTTCTTTTGGGGATTTTGAAACTTCGTCCTGACTATTATTCTCTTTAGATTTTGTTTCTGCTTCCTGATTCTTTGTTTCTTCTTCGTCATTTTGTCGGTTAAATTTCACCGTTATCTCTAACTGATCTATATTATCTATTGAAATATTTTCTTGATTTTCCTCTTGAGACTGTGACTCTTCTTTTTCATCGTTTTTCTCGGAACTTCTTGCTGTTTCACCCTTATGACTCTCTTCAAAGTTCAAAACATCTTTCTGCTTTTCCATTTCCTTCGACTTTGGTCCTGCTTTATTGTGATTAATCTCCAGGGATTCTGAGTTTTCATTCTTTTTATATTGTACTGTAGAATTTGCTTCTTCTTGTTTGTCTGCCTCTGCATTTAAAATTTCTTGTTCATGGGTCTTTACATCCGTTGATCTTACCACCACAATTTGTTCCACTAATTTTAAAGCATCATTCACTTTATTTGCCACATCTGAAGTTTCTTCCTCAATGTTTTTATCTTTACGTTTTGTTACCGTTTCTTTATGAATTTTATCTTGCGATTTTGAGGTTCCTTGTTCTTTATATTGTTTAGATTTTTCAACAGCTTTCTGTTTTCTATGTTCTTTTTTATTCTTATTTTTAGATTTTAATACAGCTTCCTGTTGTTTTCGTTCTTTAGACTTTACATCCTCTTCCGTGGGTGTCTTTCCTATTTCTTGCTGATTTTTCTTTTTCTCCCCTCTGAACTTTTCTACTTCGTCCAATTTACTCCCCGAATCACTGAAATTACCCTTGCTTCCAGTTTCACCCTTATTTTTGTCGATTTGGTAATGACTAGTCTTCAGCTGCTTTTTCTTTGACAAGCTACCTTCATTTTCTTGCTTCCTTTTACCAGGCGATTTCTTCATAGGCTCATAAACAGGCTCGTAACTTTGTATTGCAAGCAATGTTGCCGAATGGCTCCTGTTATAATATTTGCAGTCGTGCTCGAAGTGGCCTTGTGATCCACATCCGGAGCACCAACGTTTGTGAAACGGCTTTACCAAGTCGCTTTCCGGAGAGACTACAGGCCCTTCTTTAGTCTGTAATTGAGAAATTATTTACTGTACAAAAATTAAACGTAACTATTATATATAAGATTTTGTATGAATGGTATGATGTAGCATTATGTAATGTAATTTGTGGTGAAAATAAATAAATAAAATAGTCTTACGGTTAAGTGATAACGGCGCCACAAATCCGGACACATCTTCGTTGGGTGCCCCCTCATATTACAAATGTTGCAAATTACATTCATAAACCCTTTGCACCTGGAGCAATACGTCGTAAAATAGTTCATTTGCTGACCACACGACGTACATATTTTATTTGGACACCTCGGTTCCATATGACCTTTACCTCCGCATAAATTGCACACGAGAAAGTTGGATTTGTTGGGACAACGGTACGTCAAGTGTCCCCATTGGCGGCATGAACGGCATCGGGGGCCTCTAGGCTGAAAACACAAATATCTATCTCGATCAAGGATCTTCCAAAAACTTGGATCATCTGACATGAACTTCTGGCATTCGGAAACAGAAAAGTTTTCGTGTCCCCAACTTTCACAATAAAACTTTTTCATATTATTGTCCCAAAAGTCGGAGAACTGTTTCTTTTCGGGATGACCTTCTGTTCTTTTAAGTGGGTGCTTTTCTTGGAGCAGGTTCACATTCACCACTTCAATATCTTCCCCAACGTCACTTATACTTCTAAATTCGTCGAAAGAATCGTCGTCTTCTTGTATATTGCAAGCTACTCCAGTATCTGCTATGGTACAAAAGCTCAAATTTGAATTTGAATTATTGTCGCTTTCATAATCCACGGTGTAAATACTGATATCCGAATCAGAGTCGTTTGTAAACTCAACTGATACTATACCATGCTCTCTTACTTGATTTTTATCAGGTTTTACAGTATCAGAGTCAGCTTTCTTGACTACTTGTTTATTTTTCCGTTTTCTTTTTTTACTGGAAACAGAAGTTTGCGGTTCTTCTTCTATATCATTGTTCTGGTCGATTACGTTAACCAGTGTCTGCTCATTTGGGAATTTCTCAGCATTTTTTTCATTTTTACGTTTCTTCTTCTTTTTGGGTTTTGGAGTTCCACTTTCTGGTAATTCCAATGGAATTATACTGCTACCATGCTCACTTTCAATATCCAATAGTTCTCGAATCTCGTCACAATGTTCCTTGGATTTCCCTTTCTTCTTTTTCTTTGGAGACTTCTCTTCATCTTCATCTGACCCGATGACATCTTGTGCAACCTTCAATTTTTTCTTATTCTCTAGTTTCCACTCTTCATTGTTTGAATCATTTTGATTTTCTAGGGGTTTAGCTTTTTGACTTTTTGATTTTTTTCTTTTCAGTTTGGAAGATTCTGTAGTTGAATCGACATCAAGCTTTCTTTTAGGTGTAATGAAATTGGCAAAACTTTCTAAATTTGGTTCATCAAATACTTCTTTAGACGGTGCATCAAACCCAATATCATTGATGGCATTGCTCTTAATAGGAATATCAACTGTACTACAGCTGCTTTCAGTTTCATATGCTTCATTATTTACATTGCTTTTTAACTGACTTGTAGATTTGGAGCAGTAGAAATCACTGCCATGCAGTTGGAAATTAAAACAGTGTTGACTCAATTGAACACCGTCCAAAAAATCATTAGTAACATCCACCAATGGATTGTTAATTTCTTCATTTTCAATCCTTGCAATTTGAGATTTTTCTTCGATAGTTATTGTAACATCTGCACTGCAATTTGAATCTTTTGTGTCCTCAACTTCTATTATTTCTTGTTCCACAGATTCTTCCACTAGAACTATGACATCATCTTCATTATCTGTTTCTGAATTGGCATTTTTTTCTGCTTTTTTCATTTCTTGATTTTCGGCTTTCACTTGAATGCCTTTACATGTTCCTTTATCTTCCTTTTCCTGGGCTTCTTCTTCATTTTCTGTTGCTTTCATGCTACATTCTTGCAATCCAAATTCTTCTATATTATCATCTTCATTGGAACTAATATAGATTATAGGTTTTTCCAAAATCACCTCTTCAACATCAGAATCGTTAGAATCACTAAGAACCACAATATCANCAAAGGGAAAGGCAATAATTAATAAAAGTTTCTTTATCTGTCGTTGTAACTGAAAAAAAAAAAAAAAAGAATCATTTCGTTTCTTTTTACTCGTAGTTAGGGGACGTCCATTAATTACGTGCGATTTTTTTAAAATTTCGATCCCCTTCGTCCTTGATGAGATTTTGACGAATCCCCTTTCGACTTCACGCAATTAATGGAAGTCCCCTAAGAGTGCACATATGGTCCTGAGTGATATCAGATACATGTCTTTTGTCTTGGGGAATCTCAAAAACATTGGAAAAGTTCTGGTTAAATAAATAAAAAAACGATTAATTAAATCAACTTACTGCTTTCTTTTTTAAGAAAGTTTTTAAACTCGAGAAAATGCTCCTTGGCGTTCTTCTGTAAGGAAAAATTAAATACAGATGTCCAATAATTTAATAGTCTTTCTAAACAGCCTTCCAATGACCAAGGGGGTTTTGACATACCCCCCATCCTATTCCATATGCTTCCATACGATTCCTTTATTTCCTTCACAATGATCATACTAATTAAATGGCTCAAGCTCGTTTTAATCTCTTCAATTTTACAAACTTTTTCATTAGCTGGTTTACGAAATGGATCCAAAATCGCTACAATTTCATCGTGGCCATAAGCAGGAATATTATTTAATAATGCTTTGTTACGAAGATTTACGTCATTGGAAAGAAGTATCTGAAAGAATTTTTTTTACTATTTTAAGAAGTTGTGGGTAAAAGGAAAAAACTTACAACTCGGTTTTTGCGCCTCAAAATTTGTAGGCAACAGTTTAAAATTGCATCATCAGCACATGTGTTTGGAGTCATATTCTGCATTACATCTGACATATTTTGTCCTTTAATGGAAAATAATATTATTCACTATTAAACAATACAAAATGCAATAATTAATGTTGTTTGGATGTTAAAAAAAACTTTTATAGTTATAAAATATATACCTTGAAGGATCTTCTTATCAGATTGAAGGCAGGCATTTATGAATTTAATAGCAATTTGCGCTCTTTTTCGTAAAAATTCATGGGCATTTTTTCCATCCTTTATATAGTCTAATTCTTGAATTACAATCCAAGGTAAAAACATTATGGGAACTTCTTTTAACGTTATTTTTAATGCAAAAACAAATAAATACTTAATCAAAGGTGTAACGTGAATTCCACCTCCGAACAGAACGAGGACTATTTGAAAACGCATTAATTCGCCCGACGGTGTTGCACACCCAAAATAAACCTAAATTATTTCAAATCAAATCAATAATTCATCAAAGAAAATAACGATAATGATACATTAAAACAAATGTTTGGTTTAAGTAATATAAATTGCTGATAAAAACGGAGCCTTCATCATTGACAGATTCCTTTTGTAATAAAAAAACAATTCTATGACCACCAGCATATGATTTATTATTTATACATCCAGTTTTAAATGTTTGACAAAAAAAACTATTCATAAGTGAATAATTATCCAAGAATAAAAATAACACAAACTAATAATGAAACATTTTTTAATGAATAAAACGAAATAAGGTTTTTAATACCATAATAACTGCGCAACTAGAACGAGAACATTTCATTTACACTTATCAATAAAGCGTTGAAATAAAAAAAGACTTTTATCTCTGATTATTTCTTCCATAAAGTTTTTTTTTGCTTTTTCATTGACTGCTGCCCGTCTGCATCCATAAAGTGAAACAAATTTTTAGCGCAAGCACAAGCCTCCCGATTATTTAAAAGAAAATGGATGCTGTTTCGATCCTCTTTTTTTAAATTAACAAACGCTTTCCAAATATCATCGCTTAGTTGTTTCGGTACGATATTGGTAGGTAAATTGCTTAAAAATTCGATACATAAAAGTTCGTCTGTATCATTTTGGAAAACGTGATTATAAGATTGGTTTAAAGTATCCCATTCTGGCCCATTAATTTCTCCTTCCTGATTTCCGCCTTTGAGAAGTCTGTTTCTTAAAATGTCCATGTGTTTTCTACCGTCTTTCAAAAGTAATTTTGCGATAAAAATTCGATTTATGCTGATAATTGTACGGGTCATTTTCAGAACAATGCTTGGATGTCTACTTCCCCTATTATTCAAACGTAACAACTGTGCAAAAGGATATGATAAACGCTCAAAAGGTGCCAAAAAATCGAAACATTCTTTAATAACCATTTTGGCGTCAGAATAATTCGTTGGTAGTGGATAGTTACCGCCACTCTCATGGTGAACCCGCAAATAATCGTGTACTTCCGCTTTGATCATATCAAAAATATTGTCATCTATATTCCCCGTTATGACCATTTTCTTCTTTTCTTGAAAACGGTACGTTATACCGTAAGTAGTGGACAAGTCACGCATAAATATTTTCCCGCGTGCTCTTTTCATAAGGGAGCTTTCAAACGCAGATAAACAGATTGTAAATGGATCGTCTGGTGTTGCATCATTCATTTGTGGTCGAGGTAAATCGGTACTATTCACAACATTTCTCTTGTCTCGTTCATTTCCTTTCGTTTCATCCCCTGATGTGCTTGTTAAATCCACTTCTTGGACCATACGGTCACGCCCAGTGTTTACTAAATTGTTTACTTCTCTATCTGGTTCTGTCAAGTCAATAGTACTCATAACCCCAACTGTTTCTTCTCGTTCGTTATTTACTTCGAACATTTGAATATTACTATTTGGTGGTCCTTGTTCTACATTTGGCGATTCTTGTGCTATATTTGGTTGCGGCGCTCCCGTATATGGTTGGCACTGTCCCACATTTGGTTGGCCTTGTCGCACATTTGGTTGTTCTTGTCCCACGTTTGCTAATCCTTGTCCCATATTTGGTTGTTCTCGTCTTACATGTGGTTGAACATGCCCCAAATTTGGTTGTCCTTGTCCCATTTGTGATTGCATGAAAGGGTTTGCATGTAAAAATGCCGGGGAAGAAAAAATGCTGTTACCAGACAAAAGATTTTGTAAATTTGCATGAAATGGTAGTTGATAGTTGTTTGTTTGAAAAGGGGAACCGTAGAAGTTGTGGTTTTGTAAATGACCGGTCCCGGGGGGATAGAACAATGGAGAATTAAAAGCAGGAGCGACAAAAGGTGCCCATGGATTAATTAAGAAGTTGGAAGGGTCACCAAGCAGACCAGGACGATTTGTTGTTTGTACTTGCCGTGGCTTCTTATTTTTTTTATTGTTCTTCGATTGTGGTTGTTGTTGTTGTGGTTGAGTTTTTTGTTGTGATTGAGATTTTTGTTGCGATTGTGGTTCTATTTTTTGATGTAATTTTAATAGTTTCTTTTGGGCCTTGGCCAATTTTTTCCTTTGCTTTTTAGTTAGTGGTTGTGAGTTTTCTATTGCTTTATACGTTTCTTGAGTACTATTTTTATCATTTATCGACGCTTTCTCTGGATGGTGCGCTGACGCTTCCTCTTGATCGTTTGATGTCCCCTGCTGTTCAATGTTTGTTGAGATTCCCGATTGACTCTTTTCTTGTAATGTTGATACTTCTTCTACAATTATTATTTCGTTGACCTTTTTTATCGCTTCCTTTTGAGAGTGTAACGTTTCTTCTTGTCTAATTATCTCTCCATATTCTGATTTTTCTTCATGAATTTCTTCTGAATTTCCCTCATTGTGTTTAATCATTTCATTATGTTTTGAAATAACTTCCTCATTTTGGTTTTCTTTTGGGGATTTTGAAACTTCGTCCTGACTATTATTCTCTTTAGATTTTGTTTCTGCTTCCTGATTCTTTGTTTCTTCTTCGTCATTTTGTCGGTTAAATTTCACCGTTATCTCTAACTGATCTATATTATCTATTGAAATATTTTCTTGATTTTCCTCTTGAGACTGTGACTCTTCTTTTTCATCGTTTTTCTCGGAACTTCTTGCTGTTTCACCCTTATGACTCTCTTCAAAGTTCAAAACATCTTTCTGCTTTTCCATTTCCTTCGACTTTGGTCCTGCTTTATTGTGATTAATCTCCAGGGATTCTGAGTTTTCATTCTTTTTATATTGTACTGTAGAATTTGCTTCTTCTTGTTTGTCTGCCTCTGCATTTAAAATTTCTTGTTCATGGGTCTTTACATCCGTTGATCTTACCACCACAATTTGTTCCACTAATTTTAAAGCATCATTCACTTTATTTGCCACATCTGAAGTTTCTTCCTCAATGTTTTTATCTTTACGTTTTGTTACCGTTTCTTTATGAATTTTATCTTGCGATTTTGAGGTTCCTTGTTCTTTATATTGTTTAGATTTTTCAACAGCTTTCTGTTTTCTATGTTCTTTTTTATTCTTATTTTTAGATTTTAATACAGCTTCCTGTTGTTTTCGTTCTTTAGACTTTACATCCTCTTCCGTGGGTGTCTTTCCTATTTCTTGCTGATTTTTCTTTTTCTCCCCTCTGAACTTTTCTACTTCGTCCAATTTACTCCCCGAATCACTGAAATTACCCTTGCTTCCAGTTTCACCCTTATTTTTGTCGATTTGGTAATGACTAGTCTTCAGCTGCTTTTTCTTTGACAAGCTACCTTCATTTTCTTGCTTCCTTTTACCAGGCGATTTCTTCATAGGCTCATAAACAGGCTCGTAACTTTGTATTGCAAGCAATGTTGCCGAATGGCTCCTGTTATAATATTTGCAGTCGTGCTCGAAGTGGCCTTGTGATCCACATCCGGAGCACCAACGTTTGTGAAACGGCTTTACCAAGTCGCTTTCCGGAGAGACTACAGGCCCTTCTTTAGTCTGTAATTGAGAAATTATTTACTGTACAAAAATTAAACGTAACTATTATATATAAGATTTTGTATGAATGGTATGATGTAGCATTATGTAATGTAATTTGTGGTGAAAATAAATAAATAAAATAGTCTTACGGTTAAGTGATAACGGCGCCACAAATCCGGACACATCTTCGTTGGGTGCCCCCTCATATTACAAATGTTGCAAATTACATTCATAAACCCTTTGCACCTGGAGCAATACGTCGTAAAATAGTTCATTTGCTGACCACACGACGTACATATTTTATTTGGACACCTCGGTTCCATATGACCTTTACCTCCGCATAAATTGCACACGAGAAAGTTGGATTTGTTGGGACAACGGTACGTCAAGTGTCCCCATTGGCGGCATGAACGGCATCGGGGGCCTCTAGGCTGAAAACACAAATATCTATCTCGATCAAGGATCTTCCAAAAACTTGGATCATCTGACATGAACTTCTGGCATTCGGAAACAGAAAAGTTTTCGTGTCCCCAACTTTCACAATAAAACTTTTTCATATTATTGTCCCAAAAGTCGGAGAACTGTTTCTTTTCGGGATGACCTTCTGTTCTTTTAAGTGGGTGCTTTTCTTGGAGCAGGTTCACATTCACCACTTCAATATCTTCCCCAACGTCACTTATACTTCTAAATTCGTCGAAAGAATCGTCGTCTTCTTGTATATTGCAAGCTACTCCAGTATCTGCTATGGTACAAAAGCTCAAATTTGAATTTGAATTATTGTCGCTTTCATAATCCACGGTGTAAATACTGATATCCGAATCAGAGTCGTTTGTAAACTCAACTGATACTATACCATGCTCTCTTACTTGATTTTTATCAGGTTTTACAGTATCAGAGTCAGCTTTCTTGACTACTTGTTTATTTTTCCGTTTTCTTTTTTTACTGGAAACAGAAGTTTGCGGTTCTTCTTCTATATCATTGTTCTGGTCGATTACGTTAACCAGTGTCTGCTCATTTGGGAATTTCTCAGCATTTTTTTCATTTTTACGTTTCTTCTTCTTTTTGGGTTTTGGAGTTCCACTTTCTGGTAATTCCAATGGAATTATACTGCTACCATGCTCACTTTCAATATCCAATAGTTCTCGAATCTCGTCACAATGTTCCTTGGATTTCCCTTTCTTCTTTTTCTTTGGAGACTTCTCTTCATCTTCATCTGACCCGATGACATCTTGTGCAACCTTCAATTTTTTCTTATTCTCTAGTTTCCACTCTTCATTGTTTGAATCATTTTGATTTTCTAGGGGTTTAGCTTTTTGACTTTTTGATTTTTTTCTTTTCAGTTTGGAAGATTCTGTAGTTGAATCGACATCAAGCTTTCTTTTAGGTGTAATGAAATTGGCAAAACTTTCTAAATTTGGTTCATCAAATACTTCTTTAGACGGTGCATCAAACCCAATATCATTGATGGCATTGCTCTTAATAGGAATATCAACTGTACTACAGCTGCTTTCAGTTTCATATGCTTCATTATTTACATTGCTTTTTAACTGACTTGTAGATTTGGAGCAGTAGAAATCACTGCCATGCAGTTGGAAATTAAAACAGTGTTGACTCAATTGAACACCGTCCAAAAAATCATTAGTAACATCCACCAATGGATTGTTAATTTCTTCATTTTCAATCCTTGCAATTTGAGATTTTTCTTCGATAGTTATTGTAACATCTGCACTGCAATTTGAATCTTTTGTGTCCTCAACTTCTATTATTTCTTGTTCCACAGATTCTTCCACTAGAACTATGACATCATCTTCATTATCTGTTTCTGAATTGGCATTTTTTTCTGCTTTTTTCATTTCTTGATTTTCGGCTTTCACTTGAATGCCTTTACATGTTCCTTTATCTTCCTTTTCCTGGGCTTCTTCTTCATTTTCTGTTGCTTTCATGCTACATTCTTGCAATCCAAATTCTTCTATATTATCATCTTCATTGGAACTAATATAGATTATAGGTTTTTCCAAAATCACCTCTTCAACATCAGAATCGTTAGAATCACTAAGAACCACAATATCAAGATTTGATGAACCATTCTAAAATGAGAATAACAAATTAATAAGCAACAATAAAAAAAAAAAAGGAACTTACAACTTTAGAGTTACTTTGTGTTTTATTGTTATTGTTATTGGTAGTTTTATTAGCCTGTATCTGTCCAGTAATTGGAGTAAGGACTTTATTTTGTTTCCTATGCTCTTTGAAAGTGGTTTGGGCTGGATTCTCTGGCTTAAGCTTCTTTTTTGGCTTGGCTCGTTTTTTCTTATTGGATTTATTGAAGAGAGGATGAAAGGCAGTTGAGAAGCATTGCGTAGGAGCAGGTGGTATGACTACTATATTGTTTATTCCAGGAGATCCTGGCAATATGAATTGTTGACACGTATTTGAATATGTTTCATTGTAAGGTGGGTTTTGGTAGTTGTACAAATTATTCTGATGATTGTAAAACTTTTTATGCATGCCACCTGTTTGATCATCAACAGAGCTTGAATTTCCTGAAAAATTTTCTATATAAGTAAAAAATATGTACACTACATAGAGGTGCTGCAAACTTCAACATAAAAAAAAGACTTAAGGATTATAAAGAGATACACACTTAAATCAATAAATCTGTTGGGTTGATAAGGTTGAGGGACCACATTGATGTCTGGATTTTCGTAATATCTGTTACTTTTTTTGCTATTTAATCTGTTTAGTTCAAAATCTCTGGAACTATTCTGAGATTCCATGTCAATCTCTTCTGAAAGTGTCGAATGATATATTTGACCATATAAATGAGCTTCCAGGTCTTCAATATCAATTTCTGTGTTACTTTCAATGTCGGCCTAGAAAAGCCATTAAGATTTTAAATATAAATGGCCACAAAGGAAATTCACACATCATACCATTTTTTTTCTTCATTTCTGTTTGTTTTTAATAACTAAATAAAATGAAACTAAAATAGAAAATCGACTGATAAAAAGGCCACTAACGCTTACGGTGCATTATATTTTTCTAAAAAGAATACTGCAATTAACTGTATTTAAAAATCATTTGCACACTACACACAAAATACGTGAGACAGGTTAGAAAAGAAAACGAGTGACAGAAGAGCAATGATTGTGGTTACATAAACGGTAACGTGTTTTTTTCGGCTTAATAACCACATTTAATTTATTAATTACTTTTTTTTTTAATTCACAATCAGTAAGTGCCTATAAAATAATTATCGGTTTTTTCTGATAACGGCGCCACAAATCCGGACACATCTTCGTTGGGTGCCCCCTCATATTACAAATGTTGCAAATTACATTCATAAACCCTTTGCACCTGGAGCAATACGTCGTAAAATAGTTCATTTGCTGACCACACGACGTACATATTTTATTTGGACACCTCGGTTCCATATGACCTTTACCTCCGCATAAATTGCACACGAGAAAGTTGGATTTGTTGGGACAACGGTACGTCAAGTGTCCCCATTGGCGGCATGAACGGCATCGGGGGCCTCTAGGCTGAAAACACAAATATCTATCTCGATCAAGGATCTTCCAAAAACTTGGATCATCTGACATGAACTTCTGGCATTCGGAAACAGAAAAGTTTTCGTGTCCCCAACTTTCACAATAAAACTTTTTCATATTATTGTCCCAAAAGTCGGAGAACTGTTTCTTTTCGGGATGACCTTCTGTTCTTTTAAGTGGGTGCTTTTCTTGGAGCAGGTTCACATTCACCACTTCAATATCTTCCCCAACGTCACTTATACTTCTAAATTCGTCGAAAGAATCGTCGTCTTCTTGTATATTGCAAGCTACTCCAGTATCTGCTATGGTACAAAAGCTCAAATTTGAATTTGAATTATTGTCGCTTTCATAATCCACGGTGTAAATACTGATATCCGAATCAGAGTCGTTTGTAAACTCAACTGATACTATACCATGCTCTCTTACTTGATTTTTATCAGGTTTTACAGTATCAGAGTCAGCTTTCTTGACTACTTGTTTATTTTTCCGTTTTCTTTTTTTACTGGAAACAGAAGTTTGCGGTTCTTCTTCTATATCATTGTTCTGGTCGATTACGTTAACCAGTGTCTGCTCATTTGGGAATTTCTCAGCATTTTTTTCATTTTTACGTTTCTTCTTCTTTTTGGGTTTTGGAGTTCCACTTTCTGGTAATTCCAATGGAATTATACTGCTACCATGCTCACTTTCAATATCCAATAGTTCTCGAATCTCGTCACAATGTTCCTTGGATTTCCCTTTCTTCTTTTTCTTTGGAGACTTCTCTTCATCTTCATCTGACCCGATGACATCTTGTGCAACCTTCAATTTTTTCTTATTCTCTAGTTTCCACTCTTCATTGTTTGAATCATTTTGATTTTCTAGGGGTTTAGCTTTTTGACTTTTTGATTTTTTTCTTTTCAGTTTGGAAGATTCTGTAGTTGAATCGACATCAAGCTTTCTTTNTTATAAAATATATACCTTGAAGGATCTTCTTATCAGATTGAAGGCAGGCATTTATGAATTTAATAGCAATTTGCGCTCTTTTTCGTAAAAATTCATGGGCATTTTTTCCATCCTTTATATAGTCTAATTCTTGAATTACAATCCAAGGTAAAAACATTATGGGAACTTCTACACCTTAAAAATGTACTCCACTCAATTTTTTGACTTAAAATAAAAAAAAAATTATAATACTTAAAGAGTTGAGGATATTACCATTAATTTTTATTTCCATTATTTCTTTTATAACTTCCAAGTGCGACAAGAAAATATTCGTATCAATAACAATAAAAACAGTTTTAAGGACACCGTCATTTCGCATCAACTCAGATGAAATGTTTTGTACCTCTTTTTGGAATTCAGTTTGTGGTAAGATATTTGGTAGCATACTGGTCCGAACTTTCTCAATCTAAAAATCAAAACAATTGTAAACAGTAATAGACAACATCCTGTATAATAAACAAATATTACATTTGATAAGACAATTTTTTCATCAATTGGTGTCCAATCCATAAACAAATCATCATTTGAGTTTCTGTTTTGGTCAGTTGATTCTCCATGCCTGTTGGCTCCTTCTTCTGGCATATAGTAACAATTTAAAGAATTATTAGAAGAAAGGGTATTATTATCACAGCCCTTCTGAAAACTTTTATTGAAATGATTATCATGTACCATATCTGACACTACACGCGAAATCTGATGAGCATTATAAGATGTGCTAGAACTTGAAGACAAATCAGATGCATAACTTGGAAGTGGAGTTGACCTCTCTGAAGGTGGCCTTGCTATAGAAATATTGGACTGCAAATATTCTATGCATTTACGTTTATAATCCACTGAAGTGTCGGGTAAATTGGCTTTAAGTGGCTTCGCATGATACTCTGCACTGGTAGATGCAAATTTATTGTGGCAGCTGTTATTGTTAGGACGTGCATTAGTATTTGTTTTATTATTCCTAATACTATTTAATCTACTTTCTAACCCAGAAACAGGATGTCTTTTAGAGTCACTGAATGTCTCATTATTTCGTGATTTAGATGGAGAATTTTGAATTGCTATTTGATGTAGTCTGAAGGATTTTGAATCAGGGACAGACTGTAATTCATTACGATATTGTTGTAAACGACTGTTCACTGAAAACTTCTGCGGAGGCGCCGAATATTCGGTTCGTTTGCTTGAGGGTTGTACATCTACGTTATCATCCTCCCTTTTCCTTTTTAAATAGCCATCCATGTGGTAGGAACGACTTTGGAAAGTATTATTTCTGTTAAAATTGGAGTTCATCTTTTTTAAACTGTGTTATATTAGCATAAAATCACAACTATTTAAAACTTTTCATATTTACACATTTAAGGTTATATTCACAAACCCACCAATACACTTAACCATTGACAAACATTTTTTTAATAAGTACCATATTCCATTAAATTAACAAAATTAACCAAAACGTTTTTATATAAATAATTATTTATTAATAATATATACCAATCGTTATTTTTAGGTTACATAGATGTTATTCTATGGTTATTAGCATAGATTGTTATTAGTAAAATAGTAAACATAAGCTATCTAATATCTATCTGGGACTTGTTAAATATCTATAGTACATTGTGGCAACTTCAAGAGTGTTTTTAAAGTTATCTGTCAGGCAGCGTATTTGTCAAAAGTAAGTGTCAATTCAATGGAATATTTGTCTGTTATATATTATTTCTAACATGTGTAATGTTTTATGTGGAAAAATAACAGAAGTTGCACCATAATAATGTTTATATAGGCTTAATTAATTAACCAATTAATTTTTTAAATATTTAATCACCATGTCATCACGTGTTTTAAGAAAATTGCAGGGTGACAAAGACTTGCCTGAAGAAATTTCTGATCCAGATACTGATTTACCAGTAGCTGGAGGAGCCCGACGTAAACAGTTTAATATCAACAGATACGATTTAGTAATATACCTTATCTTTTGTAAAAACACAACTGTTGAACCATCTGTTGTAGTTAAATCAACAATCATTATCAGAAAGTGAAGTTAAGGAGGATGACAATGAAACAGAAGCTAATAATGCTAATGAAGGGGATGAAACTCACGAGTCTACTAAAAGGCGTAAAAAAAAGAAAAAGAAGAAATCAGGGAAACATTCTGCTACACATCGAAGCAGTGAAGATAACACAGAAGTGAGAAAAATGTTTCTTTTATACTAAAATAGAATTAATTTTATAGTATTGGTCCCATACACATGTAGCCTTTAGCTACATATATTATTAAATATGTTAGTTTAAGTAGGCTACATACATTAATGCAAATATTAACTTACAATTAGAATTAACTATATTTACAACAGATGGACGAGGTTGAGAGGTCTGTTCGAGAGGTAAACAGATTGCTAGGAGAAAATTATATGTCAGGTTCATTACACAACAGTGATTCAAGATTGGAGAAGAATATACTAATTAGGAAAAATATATTAAGTATCCAACATAAGCATTTAAATCCTAATAATGAACTAAAGAGAATATTTGGTTCAAAAATTATACAAACTGAACAGTATGTCTTCTATTTCATGTTTAATGTCTATTTATCAATTTTATCAAATATTTCATAGTAAAAGAAAAAATAGGGGCGGAGTTGGTCGCGGTCATCTGCGCACCTCATGGTTAGTGTCTCCAAAAGACAATTGGCCACCCATTGGCAAACATGGTTTGTCCATGGCTTTGTTAGAGACTAAACAGGGAATTCATCACTTCACCTATGAACACAGCCAAAGTTATAGGCAGATTCAGCACAAATTTCTGGAGGCTGTTGAGAGTCTCAACCCTGACAACTTGGTGGCCATAATTAATGAACATCCTTATCACATAGATGCACTGATACAGTTGTCTGATCTCTGTAGATTAAGTGAGGATCTGGCAATGGCTGCTGACTTAATAGAAAGGGCTCTGTATGCCTTAGAATGTGCATTTCATCCCTTCTTTAATATTGCTCAGGGCAATGGTAGACTGGACTACAAAAGGCAAGAGAACAGGTAGAAAAAAAAATTATTTAATTATTTAGTAATATAGCCTTTTTACCTTATTCTTTTTCAGGGCAATGTTCATAACTTTATTCAAACATTTACAGTTCGTTGGAGGTCGGGCCTGTTACAGGACCGCATTGGAAGTATGCAAACTTCTCTTGTCTTTAGATCCGGAAGGAGATCCTCTGGCAGTTAAATTAATAATCGATTTTTACGCTTTGCGGGCTAAGGAATACAAGTGGTTGATAGATTTTGCAGAAGAGTGGGAAACATCCAAAAATTTGTCGCAGCTTCCCAATTTTGCTTTTTCGGTCCCTATTGCCATTTTTCACACATCTGGTGACGATACCAAAAAGGCCGATAGTTTGCTACAAGATGCTCTAATTATGTTTCCAGGACTTCTGAAGCCCCTGATGGATAAATGTTCCATTTGTCCCGATAGTCGTGTAGAGAAGTCGGAATTTTTCAGTAACACAGCAAAGTAAATCTCATTTTCATATAAATTTATAATAGGGTGGTTTTCATTATGCCTATTCTTTATCTATAATAATGTTAGAAATAGAATGAATACTCTTGTTTTATTTTTCAGACAACCTGCAGCTTTAACTCAGTTGATCAATTTGTATGTAAATAGAAGTTATCATTTATGGAAAGAACCGGAAATACTCCCGTGGCTTGAGAGGAACGTGAACGAAGTACTGGATAGGGTTGCAAAGGGCGATAAAATTGTGAAAGATTACGAGCAAAAAAGGTTGAAACGGTATCAAGGGCCGATGCCTTTGAGTATAAGTCGTCACGTGATTTTGTCTGATGTTAAAGGAGTTTCGCCCTTAGCGGAGGTATTCACGTAATCTTTCGTATTTGTATTTTTTAATTATTTTAGTTGAGGACTGCTCAAAGTTTTAAGTTTTTTAAAAAGATCACCATCATATATTATATTAAGTTTCTACTATTTATATTGTGTATTTTAAAGGATTTCACGGCTCCCGTATTAAGTTTCGACCCGTTACCACCCCCAGACTCTGTAAATATTTATAGCAAATCACTAAAACCGAAACCAAGTAGTCAAAGTACGATCGGTTTGTTTTTCCGATCGATTATTCCCAATTTTGAAGATTTTCCAAGGTTGCCATTACCTCAGGATGGGTAAGCACTAAGGAAACATCTCTTCTTATATTTAACTAAAATCTAACATAAGAAGACAAAAGCATTGTATTGCATTGTATTAATATAATGATTCTTAAAAAAAGAGCTGGTGACGAAGATGGTGCTAGGGCTTTGCCGGAAAGGGAAGCGAACAACGCTACCGAGGGTGAAGACCTTCGAAGAAGTGTAGCATCCCTTGTCGGGGCAGTTCGTGACCTTTTAAGTAACCTTCGACTGCCGGACGTACCAAACGATGCCGATGTCGATGAAAACGACGACTCAGAAGATGACGAACCAAACTATTTAACCTAATTAAATTGATCGATTAGATTATTATTGTTTATTATGTAATAATACATTGAAATTGTATTATTTAATAAAGTATAATAACCCCTAAATGGTAGTTTCCTTCAGAGTTGAGTACCAAAGCACCATATTAAGTACGAATTAAGTTCTTTGTCAGTAATTTATGGAAACTGCCACATGCGGAACGTGGTTTATTTCATCTCATCAGCACACCAAACCGATAGACTATAAATTGCCAACCAAATTAAGAACTTATTAGTTTTATCTTCACTTTCCTTTACATTGTTACTTATTTATTATTAAAAATAATTTTTGCAGTCGTTATTATGAAAAAAGTAATTTTAAATTGTAAAAATATCTTTTTAAGTGATTCCGACATCTGAGTTGTAAATTATTTGATGGAACGCACCTTACATGTCAAACTACTGAAGTTTTTTTTAGGGATATTTAATGGCAATTTATATATTCATAACAATTTTGACAAAATAAATTTCGCAATCAACATGGGTTACGATATATTTTAGGTAAAATAGTGGAGTGAAACCCAACAAAATATTGAAGTGTTCCATTCGTAGAGGAAAGTGTGATTTTCTTTATTAAAAAATGCTATTGCTGCAATCTCAGAAACATTCATTCATTAATATTTATAACCAAAACATATAGCACAGAGATGTCTTAATAGTATCCAAACTATTCAATGAAGTGACAATGGAATCTCCACCGTCTAGTACTACTTGGTCTGAAGCTTTTATTTTGAGTGACGACAGTGGTTTATTATTAACAAATGGTTCTATTTCAAGTGGTAGCATGAGTGGGGAAAGTCAAAGTGGCTATGGTCGACATGAGAATGAGGTATATTTATAACTCTAGTAGTTTATTCATAAACAAATTATTAATTTTTGGCTTAAGTAACATGATTTTGGTGGAATTTGTTTGACTATGTATATTAATTGCACATTTACTGTAAAGGCAACAAGTTTATAATCTGATATTATTTAAACATTATAACCACTAACTTAGTGTCTTTTAAAAAAGTATCTATAACAATTGACTCATTTAAAAATAAACTTTAGGTAACATTGATTTATTATATATTACTTTTTTGTCCTATAACAATCAAAATTCTGTATTCGAGTGGATTTTCTATTAGTTCGTTATTTCACTAATGTTGCACTTATTTTTAATTAATATTTATATTCTCTTTTCATTACTATTATTATCAAGTTTCCGCTTCAGAAATCTGTTTATTTAATATACAGTAATACTATTATAACAGTTTGTTAGTAATGAAACGGTGGTGGTTATAATAATATGCTGCATTGAAAGGAATTATTTTTTTAGATGCATTATAGCGATTGTGATGATAAATCATTTTCTCCATCTGATTCCTTGGACGGTATGTCCGACATAATGGGTGGAGAAAACTTCAATACATTGAAAAAGGGTCCCCAGTGGATTGATTTGTCTAAATGCAAGCATATTCCAATCGAACCTCCGCCAGAGTTCCAAGATAAACCGGAAATATTATTATTCGACTCGTTTGCTAGTAAATTGTCTTATCAAATACTTAACGAAGCAATAGGCATGTGCTTTGATAGTTCAATAATAAGTTACAAAAGTTGTAATTATAACAATAACAACATAACGATACACTCAGTGACTGTTCCTTCTCAGAAATATTGGAAGTCTGATTGTTTACCGTACGGAAGTCCTCCGAGTTCACGAAATTCCCTTCGTCTGTCCCGGTTCTCAAGCTCACACAATTCACTTTCTGTACCTGTTGCCCAAAAAGCTGATGATTCCACGTTTATAACGCAAGCAGTTTCCCATGACACCCTTTTATCAAACACTATAAGCGATTTGTACAACGTTCCCTTTGACAGTGACATGTATGCACTACCAGTAGACGTTGTCAAGCCAAAATACAAAAGGAATTTCCAGCAAAAAAAGAGACGACGAAACACTTCGTCCTGCTGCAACGAAATGATAAATACAAAAATGTCGAAGAACTGTTCTGGTAAAAGATGCATTGAAAACGATTATAGGGAACCGGAAGTCGAAGAAAGAGACATTTCGAAAAGACACAGCGTCGCAGGAACTTCAGCAACAGGTCAGGGCGAACCGATACACATGACCTTGCAAGAGGTCAGACATTTCCTTCAAACTCTTTACTCCAGTTCGTCCGAATCTTCTGTGTACAGGGGAAAAGAGAATTTATCGAAAAGTGGTCAAATAACTCGTAAAAACGGTGCTAAGAGACTGTCTTTGTTTGATGAAACAACCAACACAGAAAAATCCGACCCAGTGTTGCCTTTCAATCATAATTTTTTGAATAACGTAAAGAACAAAGGCAAATGCAGGAAAGAAACCGAGAAGGGTAATAGAATCGAGAACATCGAAAAGAAAAGGTCGGTAAGGGGGTTTTCGTTTAAAACGTTGTGCAACATATTCAAGTTCAAAAGGTTCGGTTTTAATTCGAACAACGAAAGGAAAAAGACGTCTCAAGAACAATACAGCGAGAGTCTTTTGATGATCGAGGGGGACGCCAATAAAGCAATCACCAATAGAGCGTTGCCCCCTTTGCCATCCAAGAACGTGGAGAGCAAGATCTTGGATTTTGCTACCAGCATACAGAAAGTGAAAGATGTGAGTAATCATGAAAATATTTGTATTAAAGGTACTATTGGTATGAAAAAATATCATAAAATGACATGAAAAGGGTATAACCGAGTAAGAAATTTACATATACTCTTATTGTTAAACCAGAACCAAAAGAGCGTCAATAATAAATAACGAAATAATTTATTCTTTTTGTTTTTAGTATGGATGGTACTGGGGCCCTTTGTCGAGCGAAGCTGCCGAAAAAATTTTATCAAACGAACCTGACGGTTCGTTTATTGTGAGGGACAGCAGCGATGACCATTACATTTTTTCCCTCACATTCAAACTGAATAATTCCGTGAGGCATGTACGAATTGAACATGATCAAGGTGAATATGACATTTTTACTGCATGTATAAATAAAACGCTAATTAAACTTCCACACACTGTTATTGTCTTGACGGTTGTTTCGCCAGATACACTAATTGTTTGTGGAAGTTTAACTAGTGCTCTATATACGATACGATCTAATGAACTTCCATTAGCTCCAGGAAGAATCTATTCATTTATTTGCTTTTTTGTTTGTTAAAGGTAACTTCAGTTTTGGAAATTGTACAAAGTTCAAGTCACAAACGATTGTCGAGTTTATCGAAAATGCTGTTGAACATTCACGTAGCGGTCGATATTTGTTTTTTATTCGTCGGGGCCCTGTAATTGGTCCCGTGAGGGTGCAGCTCCTTCATCCTGTCTCTAGGTTTAAGCAAATTCAAAGTCTACAGCACATTTGCAGGTAGGAAACTTTTACTATTATGATTTTGTAGGGAGAACGTTAAAACATTCAGTCTGTATAGGCAACACACGTTACGTATTTTTCAAAATTTACCTGTAATTTCCAATAAAAAATTTATAATGTGTATAATTAGACAATAGTAAATTAAATTTTAATTACATGTCATCTTAGTTTTAATAATGTGATAATTTAATTTTTTATTAATAGGTTTGTCATATTAAAATACGTAAGAAAGGATTTAATTTCAACGTTACCTTTACCGAGGAGAATGATTGATTATTTGAGTACTCCTCATTATTATTCGGAGCACCTTTTGGACGTCGTTGAGGAGTCAAATGAAGGCGGAAATAAAGAGATACGTTGCCAATTCTTTATTAATTAAAATAATAATAAGAAAAAGAAATAATATAAACGTAATCTGATCCAATTCAGATGTGCAATTTTTATTATTATTTTAATTAATT